TGCAGGCTTTCTTTTATAGTGAAGTAAAGAGAATATTAAGGAGATTAGCCAAACTCTACGAGGCAGTATAGTTGTTTAAGCACACAAACTGCTTTTCACATTTTCATTCTGTTGGTTTAATTTGCTTTGAGTCATTTGTAAAGTTGTGTCATCATTTTCAATTACAACTGAGCAATCCCTCCTTTCACGGATGAACGTCATGAAATGTGGTTGAAATCCCTGGAATAACAGAAAGAGGATTGTGACTTCTTTATCGGACGGCAGCTCCCATTAACTTTGCTTCATTTTGTTTCATGTTTCATGTTCTCTAAATTACTGGAGCATGTAGGGCATATGACCATAGATGTATAAAGATAACTTGATACAGTGTTAAAGTCGTTCATACCTTAAATCGCTCCAAATCATGAGTCATACAAATAAACGTGGATCAACCGTAAAAATAATAATAATTCCGCTATTAGCAGTTTTACTATGTTCAGACCTAATGATTTAAATAGGGGCTATTCAAGTGTTTGTTCTGGGAAGTTGTGTAAGTAACTATGAAAACTCCGTTATTGACACACATATTAAGATGGATTATCAGTAATCATTTCAGACACATTGGATTAATTTATGGATTAACCTTCAGCAGTGTTTTTATCGTTTTAATGCCATTAAACACAACTTTTTGACCAGAACAACAGCATAGGTAAAACAATGTCCCGTTTTTGCTCCGTAAAGCTCCGTGTTGTGATGTCTGTGTTGGTTTCCCCTGTCGCGAGTTCTGATCGCTCAGTGATGATACTTATACCCCTAGAATCCGTGGAATCTCAGCTTGCTAATCGATATCTGGTTTGTGCAGATCCGATATGTAATAAGGGTATTTATACCTAGAGTTCTGTGCTAAGTGTGTTAGCATTTTTTCGCTCAGGGTTCATTTAGACGCTTCTTGTGAGTAAAAATGGTTCGTATCGTCAGTTAGCTGAGTTTCTTCCTGTTAAGTGGGTATGACACATTCATAGGTTTTTAAATGTTGGTTGAACAGGTTAAAAAAAAACACTTTGATTTATTAGACAATTCGCTCACTACTTTCTCACTGCGAAACACCCAAAAAAATCACACGTGACAAAAGTGTCATGTTTTTGTATATATAAGTTACAGACTTCTCTTTCCCACCGTAAGTCTATCTGAAACAGTATTTTTGAGCCTATCGGCATCACGCGACTTAAACAGCAGTAATTCCATAATTGGCTTTAAAGCCCAGCACTCTTCCTTTCACTGATCAACATTGGCCAAGGACGCTTGGGGATTGTATAGTTTGTATTGCTGACCTAAAGATGATCACTGTGAAAAGCATTTTCCAAACACACTGTCAGGTCAGCTGGATCAAACACCAGGTTGGGGTCTAAGCTAACCCAGCTAGCACCTGAGGCTATTCCACTTCAGAGCCTGCATCTGGAGGATGAAGGAAAATATAACAGGGATGAAAAAGCCTGAGGCTAAACCAGCAAGAGATAAGAAACTGCTGCTCTCACATCTTTACACACTCCTGACATCCCAGATAAAGCTGTTGCACAGGACAGAGAGGATTAGATGGACTTTACTAAAGTGTGGTTGTGACTCTCCAATGTCTGGAAAGACCACGTTGAGCATATCTGTAAAAGGACAACAACACAAAATGTATTTCTCTGCTGGTTTAGATCATTTAGGGCAAGTCGACCAATTCTTCTTCGTTTTTTTACATATGTGATTTTGAGTCGTTCACAGTATTGTTATACTACATGGTTAAAGATTGTATGTCAACCTCTTCGGATAAATATATATGAATCAATCTAAACACACACATTTAACTCTTTCACAGTGTGTTTCCAGGTCATGAAAATCATTTTAGTCAGATGTTGTCCGTTTGAATACGTACGTTCAACCATTAACTTCTATAAAAGTCTTTATATCTTCATCTACCCTAGCAATGTCCTGAGCAGCGAATATGAATTGTTACCTTCAAATCAGAGGTACAGGGTCCATGATTTAGACTGAAGCACTCTTTTGTGCACCAGTCAGTCCTAAAACTAAATACAAGATGAATACCAGGTCAAATGAAGGGTCTTGAACATCTTGTCTTCAGTGATTGTCATGTTATGTTTAATGTTTTTTTCCTAGTTTCTTGTCTTACATATTTGTCCTTGATGATATTGCAAATGGAGCTGCTATAAAGCAAACACAAACTAGAGCTAGCGATCATATATTTATGGTCATGAATAATGTATCCTTAAAGGTGGGGTAGGTAAGTTTGAGAAACCGGCTCGAGATACACTTTTTGTTATATTCCATGGAATGCTCTTAACATCCCGATAGCAATGAATATCTGAAGTGCTTTGACAAAAAATACATTAAAAAATGTAATCTGTGGAAGCCGTAGTACTGTAAAAAGCACGACCAATCATCTGAGCCGGCCCGGCTAAAATAACTGGATGGCCTACCTGCCTGTCAGCCTTCCATCTGTGCACAGACTTATCTTGTGCCCTCATTGGTCATGTGCGCGTCTGTGTGTGTTGGAGGAGGGGCTCTGTAAGGAACTCTGAAGGAAGTGGCAGATTTTTTCCGGTAGTATACTTTCAAATTCTAGCGCACTCGAGCGGGTTTCTCCAAAATTACATACCCCACCTTTAAGTTACTTTGTCCCCATATTGTAAAGAGGTCCTCACAATGTGTGTGAACAGATAACAGGCCTACTCCAACTCTTACACAGAGACATATGTCCAAATATGTCCTCACTGCCTAGGTCTTAAAGTCATAGCCTCACAAAGGTAGTAAAACAAGATAACACTTATACACATCTGTATGAAACAGAAGCTCTGTCGCCCTCTACTGGACGGCTGAAGAACAATTTCCAGCAACAATTGAATTTCTCCACTCTGTCCCTGTCAACTTTCTGAACTCTTTGACCACCACAAGTTTATGAAATCAGAAAAATATTGTAAAAGTCAGTCGCTTATTCTTTAGAGGTATTCCTGGATGATATTTTTCTAACCTGATTTTGTAATCCAGGGATTACATTCAACAACAGGAGCTATGTCTGGAAAGCTTCACACACACACACACACACACACACACACACACACACACACACACACACACACACACAACACACACACACACACACACACACACACACACACACACACACACACACACACACACACACACACACACACCACAACACACCACACACACACAGGATTAAAAAAAAAAATAGATAGCTGACAGAAAAAGATAATAACTGTTGCGCTCTTGCCCTTGCTGTGTGCATTTCTTCGATAACTGTAGCTTATCACACAAATGTGACAGAAATGATCTAAGTTCCTCACCTCCCTGCCCTCAGCCTCACTTCCCCCCCACAGTTTTCATTGATACATCTCAGAAACATTTTCAGTATTCGTTCATGGTATCCAGAAGTCAGAAAGACACAATGAGACATTTGCAGGAGTTGAATGAAAGATGAGTTTGGGATCATCTTGTCTCGATGGAGAGTTGAGCTGCTCTGAGGTTATGTAGTGCCTGTCTGGTAAAGGAAGTGGAACACAGTTCAGCCTGAGGAGCTGCAGAGATGCATTATTTACAAGTTGCCTGTTCAAATCCCCTGGTTTCCTTCATGCACCATAAATATGTGTTTGTTGTGTTTCTAATAAACTAAGCCAGGACTCAGAATCAGAATCGGTTTTACTACCAAGTAGGTTTACACATACGAGGCATTTGCTTTACTATAAGTGTTGGATACAAAGACACAGAAAGAAGAATATTCTAACTGGTTGTAGACCTGTGAAATGTTGGTGAATTCTTAAGGAATGACTAATTATTGTTTATTTTTAAATAGAAAAATCAGCATGGAAATCAGCAAATTTGAGTTTTTCAAAATAACTTCCATTGTGTAAATACGTTTGAATGTACTTCAAGTGTTTTACATTAGATTTATTTTGCGTGTGCATTGATTTTTTTTGTGTATTTATCTTTGCTTCTGTTTATAATATTAATAAAAGCAGTTATACATTACATATAACAATATACATTATTACAATATGATTATTATAATGCATATAATACTGCGGCACTGTTATCTGCCGCTTGGGAGCAATGGTTGAGATGGTTTAACTTTTTTAAACAAGTTTAGACCACAAGAGGGCAGTGTTGTACTACAGATATGTATTTATGTATGTATCATACATACATACATACATACATACATACATACATACATACATACATACATACATACATACATACATACATACATAATGTATGTATGTATGTATGTATGTATGTGTGTGTGTGTGAGCCTGTGTGTGTGTCTATATATCCATGTATCTATCTATCTATCTAGCTATCTGGTGTGTGAGGGCTGTGAGAGTAAATCTAAGGTCTGTGTGTGTGTGTGTGTGTGTGTGTGTGTGTGTGTGTGTGTGTGTGTGTGTGTGTGTGTGTGTGTGTGTGTGTGTGTGTGTGTGTGTGTGTGTGTGAATAGAGACTTATTTGACTCATATATCTGCCAAAGACCAAATTGACTCTGCCATTTGGTGCTCCCAGGACCACTTTGGATCATGAATGTGTGTGTGTGTGTGTGTGTGTGTGTGTGTGTGTGTGTGTGTGTGTGTGTGTGTGTGTGTGTGTACAGTAACTCTTTGTTATAGCTCACAGTGGGAACCTTTTTTTTGGTATCAACGAATTTGCTCCATTCAAACATAGATCCTGTGTGTGTGTGTGTGTGTGTGTGTGAGTGTGTGTGTGTGTGTGTATGTGTGAGAGTGTGTGTGTGTGTGTGTGTGTGAGTCTGTCTGTGTGTGTGTGTGTGTGTGTGTGTGTGTGTGTGTGTGTGTGTGTGTGTGTGTGTGTGTGTGTGTGTGTGTGTGTGTGTGTGTGTGTGTGTGTGTGTGTGTGTGTGTGTGTGTGTTACAGAAGTCCAAAGAAGAGAAACATAATCAAAGAGTAATTTATATATCTAATTCTCTCTCTCCGTGTGTTTCTAGACGTTCATTTTCACAGACACGGAGGATGAGGATTTGCATTCAGAAGGTAAGCCTCGTCTTGAATCCAATTTAAAACACATTCTCAATTTTAGGTTTAGATTTAGATCAAAATCTAATATACACATACTGTGTGTACTCTAAGCCTTGGGCTATTTATCTTAGTTGAAATGCAAAGCTTTGCAGAGCTGCTCGCATTTCTTATTTTGTTCTGACTGTCCTTCACTCTCTTGCTCTCTCTTCCCTTTCTTTATTCTCCTCTCCTTTCCTATTCCTCACCCCCCCCCTCCCTTAATCCAATTTTCCCCATGTATTGTCTCATGCCCTCCTCTTTGTCAGCAGATTGCATGAACTCTACTGCCATCCTTATCTTTGCATGAGATCACATTTAGATTATAATGATCTTATTAATTACTGAGTTAGAAAAGGTACTATGCAACATAAGCATGAATACCTTCAGTAAAGTCATTTGGATCACCCTATGCAGTGGAAAGATATGAGCTGTATTAACCAGAGATGGGAAGTACTGTACTTAAGTACATGTTTCTGGTATCAGTACTTTACTCCTTATTAAAGTACGACTTTTTACTTTGACTTCTTACATGTTGAACACAAATACCTGTACTTTCTACTTCTTACATGTTGAACACAAATACCTGTACTTTCTACTTCTTACATGTTGAACCCAAATACCTGTACTTTCTACTTCTTACATTTCCCAAACAGGCTGGTTCCTTTAGTTTGAATGTGTGTTTGGTGGCGTGATCATTATTATTTAGAGTCATTGCGTGCCTATTGATTTGAACACGATCCGTGTATCCATCATTTCCTGGTCTTCTCTAAAGAAGAGGGACCAATGAAAACGTTGTCATGTTGCCGTTGTTCAGCATGGAAACATTCATTAGCTAACAATGACATTATTGTTCTATTAATATAAAGGGAGGTCAGGTACTCTTTAAAACAGCTGCTAGTTATGGGTACTTTTTACTGAAGTACATTTCAAAGCCCTCTTTACTTTTACTTGAATAAAGAAGTTCAGTCAGTACTTCAACTTTTACCAGAGTATTTTTAAACACGAGTATCTGTACTTCTACTTGAGTAAAGGATGTGTGTACTGTTGCCATCTCTGGTATTAACACTCCTTATCTCTCTCTCTCCCAGGTTACAACATGGTGGTCACAGCCTGCCAGTCGGACCACAGCCAGCAGGCTCTGTCCTGCAAGATGTCCGCCGAGTACGACGGCTTCATGGCCTCAGACAAGAGGTGAGACATCACGTCTATCACCTGGCCCATACTGGATTTAAAGATCGGATTAAGATAACAAACTTTAATGATCACCGTGGGGAAATCAGGCTGTTACAGCAGCAGGTGGGGAGAGCAGGAGGAATGAGAGAGGTAGGCTGCTAAAGCGTATACTCACAGGTGAGGATTACTTTAATGATGGCTTATTGGAGGGAGAATCTTTGAAATGCTTTGTTTTTATCCGTCAACATCTTTTTGCATGGAAGGTTTATCCTTGAGGCCACTTGCCATTCAAACAGCTTTGGCAACACAGACATATTTTGAAATAGATTTAATATTCAGGCCTACTTTATTTTTTTAAAAACCAGATTACTTGCAACCAAGACCAGAAAAGAAAAAGCGAGCTGAGCTTTTAGCAGCTCGAGATTGAGATTTATTTTAAATAGTTAGTGGAGACCAAAAACAGAGCTTTAAAGGTAGGGGAGGTAAGAATGGAGAAACCAGCTTGAGTGCGCTAGAATTTGAAAGTACGCAGCCGAAAAGAATCTGCCCCTTCCTTCAGACTTCCTTACAGAGCCCCTCCTCCAGGAGCTATTTTGTACTTATGTATTTCATGACCAGAGATGGGGTCGTTACTAAAAAAAAGTAATATATTACATATTACATATTACTTTAAAAAAAAAAAGTAATATATTACACTACTTCGTTACTCTCTACATAAAGTAACTTGTTACTTTACTTGTTACTTTACTCGTTACTTTACTCGCAGGGCCGGCCCGCCCCTCCCTACAGGCAGATCACGCAGACTGCTAAAGTTTCAAATGTTCTCTTTAGTTCAGTTTCCATTGTCGCATAAGACTGATCCAGATAGCTCTGACTATGGCTGTCCTCTGTCTCCTGATATCTGTATTTTGCGCAGTATATCTCTGAACGATGCGATGGTGATTCCACTGTGCAAATGGGCAACATTACCTCTACTATGAAGGATGCTACAAGCCTGTCCATCTCTGCTTTGGTTACCGGTAATTTTTGCTGCTTCGGAGTCGGCGGCGGCGCACTCACAACATCCTCACTCTGGGTTCGGGGGTCCTTAGCTATTAGCTTCACCTTAGCATGTGTTCTTTGCAGGTGTTTGTTGAGGTTTGACGTGGTGTTTGCAGCAGTGGATAACAGCTTCTGGCCTGGACACAGTTTGCACCTCACCGTCACATTCCTGTCTATTCTTCGGACGAACTCAAAATAATGGGCATCCCTCCACCCCTCGAAAGTTATCGCTGACTCTGCCATGTTTATGCAGCACTGCACGTGGAGATGTGGACGCGCAAGTCGCGCAGATTACGTACATATAAACCTGCGGCGGAAACCCCTCTTGTCTGTCAGTGTGATTATGACTGATTTTATAAAAGTAACGAAGTAACGCGTGTCGGGGCAATGTTAGTAACTGTAGTGTGATTACTGAATTATAAAAGTAACGCGTTACACTACTCCGTTACCGACAAAAGTAATATTATTACTTTGTAACGCGTTACACCCAACTCTGTTCATGACCCAGCTTGAGGCAGATATAGAACTATAAAGGACAATGTGTTGTTGATCTTGTCATATATTTGATTTGTGGAAAATACAATGAGGCTCAACAGCTTGGTGTGTGACTAAGGCTTGGACTGATGTCTTGTCATTAAGATGGCAGAGATATTGAAGTTTGTTTCCATGGCCCTCTTTGTTTTTTGGACGAAATATGAAGTGAGGCTGTTTGGTTTGGAAGGAAGCCTTGTGTTGTTGTCGAGCAGCCATTAGGATGGCAGAGGAAACAGGACAGTTTGGTAGCAGAAGCTCATGATGCAGTAAAAGTGTGTTTGGTTTGGAATAAGGCCTTTACACTATGTCCACTTCATTAAGGGGGAAGAATACATCAAACAGCTTCGAGGACAACAGGAAACCCAGTGCAGTTTATCTGTGTTGTTTTCCTTTGATTTTAACTCCTCTTGGAAGGAATTCTTCAAACTTTATTTTAGCTTGTATAGGACTTATAGCACAATAGGCAATCTGCAGACGTCACATGACTTCACTTCACCACCGCTAAGCAAAAGGAGGCTAATGTTGGGCTATAAAGGAACTACAGCACGGTCACATGACTTCACGTCACCACCGCTAAGCTAAAGGTGGCTAATGTTGGGCTATAAAGGAACTACAGCACGGTCACATGACTTCACGTCACCACCGCTAAGCTAAAGGGGGCTAATGTTGGGCTATAAAGGAACTACAGCACGGTCACATGACTTCACGTCACCACCGCTAAGCTAAAGGTGGCTAATGTTGGGCTATAAAGGAACTACAGCACGTCACATGACTTCACTTCACCACCGCTAAGCTAAAGGTGGCTAATGTTGGGCTATAAAGGAACTACAGCACGGTCACATGACTTCACGTCACCACCGCTAAGCTAAAGGTGGCTAATGTTGGGCTATAAAGGAACTACAGCATGGTCACATGACTTCACGTCACCACCGCTAAGCTAAAGGTGGCTAATGTTGGGCTCTAAAGGAACTACAGCACGGTCACATGACTTCACGTCACCACCGCTAAGCTAAAGGAGGCTAATGTTGGGCTATAAAGGAACTACAGCACGGTCACATGACTTCACGTCACCACCGCTAAGCTAAAGGTGGCTAATGTTGGGCTATAAAGGAACTACAGCATGGTCACATGACTTCACGTCACCACCGCCTAAGCTAAAGGTGGCTAATGTTGGGCTCTAAAGGAACTACAGCACGGTCACATGACTTCACGTCACCACCGCTAAGCTAAAGGAGGCTAATGTTGGGCTATAAAGGAACTACAGCACGGTCACATGACTTCACGTCACCACCGCTAAGCTAAAGGTGGCTAATGTTGGGCTATAAAGGAACTACAGCATGGTCACATGACTTCACGTCACCACCGCTAAGCTAAAGGTGGCTAATGTTGGGCTCTAAAGGAACTACAGCACGGTCACATGACTTCACGTCACCACCGCTAAGCTAAAGGAGGCTAATGTTGGGCTATAAAGGAACTACAGCACGGTCACATGACTTCACGTCACCACCGCTAAGCTAAAGGCGGCTAATGTTGGGCGAGATGACGTTTAGTCGTCTCATTTAGACACTTTTTAAATCCACCAGCTGGGTATTTACTGACTTATTTTATGTCGTGGAACAAAACGTTTATATCTCTTCAGCTTGTGTTAACCACAGACTTTATTTCAGGGTAACAACCAAATGAGGGCACGAGATAAGTTTGTGCCCAGATGGAAAGCTGACAGGCAGGTAGGCCATCCAGTTATTTTAGCCGGGCCGGCTCAGATGATTGGTCGTGCTTTTTACAGCGCCACGGCTTCCACAGATGAAATATTTGTATGTATTTATTGTCAAAGCATTTAATGTATTCATTGCTATCGGGATGTTAAGAGCATTCCATGGAATATAACAAGTGTTTCTGAAGTGAATTACCTACCCTACTTTTAAGTTCCCTACTTTGGATGATGACAATTAAAAGAGTTGCGTTATTCTAAGAAAGAAGTTTGTCACAGTTGAAAGAAAATAGGTGGAGATAGTAGATAGATACAGTGAGTTGTTTAAACGCTGTGAGTAAACAATATATCCAGGTGCTTTAAGGCTGGTGAACACACCACATTTAGAAAAACGACTAAGTGCCAATATAGTTCAATACTCTAGTTGCATTTTGGTATATGGTCCACACTGGAAATGAAACACGATTTTATCTTTTGGACTTATTGCCCAGCTCTAGTAGCAAGTCATCTTGGAGTTTCAAATATTTGATCACAAATCTAAGCAACATTTCTTTTGATAGATTTGAGTAAATATTTCTTGTGGTAGACTCAGATGTTCTACCTGTGAGCATAAGGTGATTCAGTTTAGCATAATGCATGCAGTCATATTAAAAAACCCAATTCAGGCAAAGATCAAGCAGATATTACACATTTTATTTCTTCTGCTTGATGATCTCCTGTAGCAAATCTGCAAGTCGTATAGAGTTGTAATTAGATTTCTTCTGTGCAAGAATGAAACCAACGGGGATTTAAATGTGCATTGGAATCATCTGATCTGACATCAACAGCAGGAATAAAGAAGAATATAGAAACCCTCACTCTTAAAACAAACCACCTTTCCTCTGTTTTTCCTCAGGTGGTTTTGTCACGTGGACGATGATAACTACGTGAACCCGGAGGCTCTCCTCTCTCTGCTCTCAGCCTTCCCCCAGGACGGAGACATCTACGTGGGCAAACCGAGCCTCGACAAGCCCATCACTGCTCACGAACTGCTGGAGGGAAACGCAACGGTACGATACCAAAGTGTTTATTTAATGTAACATTCAGGGGGTCAGTGCTATGCTAAATACAGCCTGTGGTCATCACTTCATTAAAAAACTAGACATTAATATTTATCTTCTCAGAGTTAGCCTACAGATATTTAAAATGGAAAAATAACTCAATCAAACCAGTTCAAGATACATATTAAATCCTTCCACTTGTCAATTTGAGCAAGGAAGGTGGTGGTAAAGGAAAACTAGGAATACAGTTTGTGGTCAAAGCAGCATCACTACCAACTTACAGATCATCTAATATCAGACTTAAACACCTTCCACTAGTCCCGTGTGTGACTTAGTGATGTCACAATGTCCCAGAAGTAAACAAAGGAGTCAAATGGAGGCGTTTCAGGCAGGAGGGGGGGGGTTTGTTTATATACAAAAACCTATAACACAATACAGGAAAGAGAAACACCCAAAAAAGCATAATATGGCCTTTTTAAACTGTCCACTATAAGGAAGCATGGCCGTACCCACCATTGAGGGTAATTATTTTGAGGTGTATATAATAAAACTCGTGAAATAACTGCACATAATTAACAGGGTTCTTTGTAGTACTTCCATTTACTGGCAGTGGGGGCGCTACGAACAGCCGCAGTCTGGACTTGTACCCATGGATGTATAATAAGGGAAGGTGAAATAAATACTTTACATTAAAGTGGACCTATCATGCTATATTTGAATAATATAGTGTAGGACCATACCTATATAAGGCATATTTATACTTAACAGATCATGCATTTTAGCCATGCCTCATTTCGCTCAATTTGACATTTTCTAGCTCTGTTTTTGCAAGGGCAGATTATGTGAAAACAGCACCATCTACTGGCCTGGCATATGTACTACAGCGTCTCCAGCGCTTTCGAACGGCAATGGCCGTGGCTGTCTCCTCCTGATTGGTGGAGTTGGCCCAATAGCCGTAGCGCCACCGTCCTGACGTCAGGACAGTGTTCAAATCTGGATCAGTTTTTATCAGATCCGTTGCAGCCCCTTTTTTAGAGATTTGGGTATGGAGGAAAATAGAGAGGGTTGTGTTTTCTGACACTTGGTGAGTTCCCTGGAACACCGGGGACACATATTCATGTATAAAAGACGTACACAAGTGCATTTTGCATGATAGGTCCCCTTTAAGTTATGTTCGTGTTGTGTAAATAATGATGTAATGCTTTTGAAATGTATATATGCTGAGTCCAGAGTAAAATGCTTTTGTGTGCACAAACTAGAGGGGGACAGCAAACACCAGTGTGATTTTGGTGACAGTACGACTATCTAGGACACAGTTATAGTCGGGCAGCACCAACACCTGGTCATGTGGAAGCCCCTCTTTAGTTTCTCACCTACTGAGCCCAGAGTAAAATGTGTTTGTGTGCACAAAAAATGTTGGGGGAGCCTGCCCCCGAGCTCCCCTAGTTTTGGACCTCTGTATTTACGAAATCCTGGCACGGGCCTGTAAGGAATGATTTAGATTTGATTTGAGAGTCTATTTATTCCCAGTGTGCAGCACAAGGACAGAGTAAAAAAGACCACAGAAATCCGACAGAGAGAAAAGATACAAACAAAAGGAGAAGATAGAAAAAGCAGCAACAAAAGAAATCATGAGGATCAGTGAGTGAAAAACACAGCAGGTCTTTCGAAGTGGGAGGGAAGCAATAAGTAATCTGTAAAGAGAAAGAGTGAGGAAGTTATTAGGGATAGAAAATAGAGGTAAAGAACAGCAAGCACACATACATCTGAGGAGTTGTGTGAAAGATAATAATGTATCTCAGAGGGGTCTCCCTGCCTCACAGAGTCACCGAACCACATACGTTACATTCAGCGTGGCTTTCACGGGAGTTTCAGTGTGCTGTGGGGCAATCACAGCAAATCTGAGGCATTTCCAATCCTGAGGAACAAGCTCGGGGGAAACATTGAGACGAATGATTTGCTATATCTGGTATATATATGCAGGCCACCCCAAATAGTCACTCAGAGAAAATCAGGACATTCTGATGTACAGTTTCAAAATAAAAGACCTTTGAAATGACATATATGAGCTATCGTCCCTCTATTTTCAGAGACGAATAAATGAAAAACTGTCCGTAATCAAAGACTCATTTCACTTCAGGGTGATAGCATGTCACCATATATGTGACTACACCTAGCTGACTGATGAGTTGAGAGAAACAGGGATTTTAGCCTTTGCAGACCATTTACATGCACTAAAACCTGTATAGGTGTAAAGACAGGAAATGGGGAACCCCAAAAAGCAAAATAGGGCCATAGCTATGTCTTGATTTATATTATTTGATAGTTACACATTTATTTTCTTGCTGTTTTGTTGATAGTAAATGTATTATTATTTAGTGTTATTATTTAAAGGGCCCATGTCATGGCCATTTCCACTGATCATAATTCCATTGTTGAGGTCTACTAGAATAATTTTATATTGTGCATCTCTCCAAACTCACATTGGTTTCTCAAACAGCATCTCTGTAAACTACGTGTATTCACTGAATTTCACTCTCTGCCTTTAACTGCTCGTTGTAGCTCCCAAAGCTCCAGCCCCCACCCTCCCTGTGAGCACAGTGTGCTCTGATTGGTCGGGACGTTGTGAATCGCGCTGAGCTCCGTGGAGGTGTTGCTTCCTTGTTTAGGATACATAGCGAAACACAGCCAAACTCATCCTGAGCACACACAAAGTCACATCCGAAGTAAAAACAATAAGTGTGGCTTGATATTGAGTAAGAAACAGGTTGATAAACGCTGTGAGAATGGGTCTGCAGAGAGAATGGGTCTGCAGAGAGAATGGGTCTGCAGAGAGGATGGGTCTGCAGAGAGAATGGGTCTGCAGAGAGAATGGGTCTGCAGAGAGAATGGGTCTGCAGAGAGAATGGGTCTGCAGAGAGAATGGGTCTGCAGAGAGAATTTCGCCGCGATCCCAACTGTCTGTTATCAGCCTGCAGCCAGGGAGGAGAAATCAGCTGAGCTGCCTGCTCCCTGCACACAGATGTGAGTGTGAGGAAGTCCGTGGATTGGTCAATTTGGACCAATCAGCGGGGGCTTAACGTAACGGCTCCGCGGACGTAACGTAACGGCTCCACGGATTGGTCCATTTCGTTCCGGATACGGCTTGACATCATGCCGTACCCGGAACGAAATGGAAGAATCAAATGGACAATGACGTATCTCCAACGAAGCGTTTTGGGGAGGTATTTTCTGTGTTAGAGTTTTACTCGCTACAGGGTGTACTTTGAGGGTTTTGACTCTGCAGACCGTTTACATGCATAAACACCTTCATAACACACAAGGGGACGGGGAATAACCGGAAAAGCATGACATGGGAGCTTTAAGTTAATTAAAGTAGATATATGCCTTTATTTTGAAGGCATGTTTTGGCACCAGGGTGATTTGGGCACCTGGTGTAATTGTATATATTGGACACAGGTGGTGGTGGGATTTGCACCAGATAAGCATATGTTTTGTTACCAGGAGAAACACAGCAGGAGAGGCCAACGGTAAAACTTTGTTCATTGTTGTATTATTGGAATACCACAAAATAAACGAACAAACACGATGTTCTTGCCTGGACATTGGACATTATTTTCCTGCCTAAGATTTGCTTTTTGGTGCCCCAGCGGAAGTTTAGTCAAGGTTAAGTTCTCTATTTTATTTCTGTAGTTAGCCGTTACAATAACTAACATTAATGCTGGACAAAACTACAAAAAATGACATTTGTTTTCCTGTCTTCCTTTTTAAAATGTCAAACAAAGTTGAGGTCTCCTTTTATTGTTTTTAGATCAAAATGCAGTCAGGTCATGTTAACCACTGCCATTTCAAATCCATACTATCCAAATCCATACTCTCACTATCTCCCTCTCTCAGAATGTATGTATGCATGTACAGAATGAGGAATAGGGAACGTTTAGCTCGGTGTCATTTTTGTCCACATGGGAAAGATTTCAGGACCCAAGTGGATCAATGAGTGATTAGTGTCTCGTTGGAGATATTGATTGATCGCACGCACACATATATAGCATACAAATAAGGAAGGCTCCCTGTGGATAAGAAGGTTGTCAAACTGCAGGCGGTCGGTAGTTTGTTTTACACATGCAGCTATTCCTGTGTGTGTGTGTGTGTGTGTGTGTGTGTGTGTGTGTGTGTGTGTGTGTGTGTGTGTGTGTGTGTGTGTGTGTGTGTGTGTGTGTGTGTGTGTGTGTGTGTGTGTGACTGAGTTCACATGCTTCTGAGTAGAATTACGGGGCTGCTATTGAGTTAGAGGTCTCTCTGAATAACATGTCGCGTTCTCTCTGTGGTTTTCCCTCCGCCCTTTTCCATCTTCCTCCATACCCCAGAATGACTCTCTCCACCTCCCTTACTGAATGTCACATTATCCACTCTGCTTGCACCATTTACACCGAAAAATACATCTTAATTTATCTCCGTTCGCTAACTCTCTCCCTCTCTCGTCCCTTACTCCTTTTTCTTCTGTTCCCATCACTCTCATCCACTTTGCTTTTCTCCTCCTAATCTTCACCCTTCGCCAGGGTTGGATTTGTGATGAAGAAAACAAAACGAATGTCAGACTCACTCTCAGTATCCTCCTCTTGTTTTCCTTCATCTCACTGACTATCTTTTTTCGATTTCCTGTCCCTATTGTGAGGCTGCGAGGTCGATGAATGGTACGGTCCAAAACATTTCTATAAGGAGAAACGTGCTGCAAATGTAAATCGCTGCAAGAAGCTACAATCACAACGGAAACCAGGGGACACTAAAAAGTGACACACAGCTGGGAGACCAATGTCGAGGAAGGCTGCTCCAGAGCCACTATTTCAAGGATGCTACGTCATCGACCAATTTCCAAAAGTCTTTGGCGGAAATCGCGCTCCATTTAAGGCGGGGCCTCTCATATGACGCACACCTGTTAGCCTGTTAGCCTGTTAGCCTGTTAGCCTGTTCCACCATTCTTCGTTTTTCCGAGGCTAGGAAGGATTCTTTCGGTGTGCGTCACTCTTTAGTGTCCCCTGGTAGGGCTGTGCAATTAATCGTATTTTAATCGCAATTACGATTTTGGCCTGCCACAATTACGAAAACAACATAATCGAAAAAAACAATTATTTTGCTTTGCTTGGTTGTGACTGCACTGCAACATATTTGATCAAATTTGTTTGTATTTATCATATTTATATATGTTTAGTAGCTTGTTGAAGTGCGCTCCAAAATATTTGTTGATCTTGTTTATTGGTATTTATTATTTTGATATTATTTATTTAAATGTAGATATAAATGTATCATTTATTTAATTTATTTTTGTATTGGTTTTTCAGTTGAATTATACGTTCAGGGTAATCAACAGTTAAAAAGATACTGTTCAAATTATTATTTGTATTTAAAAGTTCAATAAATGGATGTTTTCAAAGTCAATGAATAATCGTATTTAATAATCGTGATATCAATTATTGACCAAAATAATCGTGATTATGATTTTTGCCATAATCGCACAGCCCTATCCCCTGGTCTCCGTTGTGTTTTGAGCTTCTTCAGCGTTTTGCATTTGCAGCGTTTGGTTTCTGCATCTTTTAGTAAACGCTGCGCATGTTTCCTCAAGTTGCTGAATGTTCTCTAAATGCTGCATGTGTTGTTTCTTCATTTGAATGTGTTTTGGCACATTTGTATCGTTTCTGAAGCTGCAACTTGTTTCTGCGAATGGAAGTGTTTTTGGCCGTTGTCGTGCATTTGCACCTGTCGACCAACTTAGATGCGAGCAGGAAGGAGGAAGAGAATGGCAAGGCAAAAGGAATGGAGAGAAAATAACTTAACAAGAAAGTAAGAATTCAAAGAGAAGGAACTGCATGTTGGGAAAGGAAATGAAAGGAAAATAAATGATTGTCCTTTGATATTATAAATGATACGAAATAGTGGAGGATGAATGGGAATGACACAGGTGCAGCAAAAGCACAGGAAATGGGAAACTAAGGAAAGGAAATGATAAGATTTTAGGAAAATTCAAGAAAAGGAAAAGAAAGAGAAAATGTAAACAGAAATAATTATAATCAAGTAATTGAAATAAAGTATAAATGAAAGGGAACAGAATAAGGAGAAATAACGGGCAGAATTAAGGGAGTATAGAGAAAGGAAACCCATTGTCACTAATTTGTTGTGTATGTCCTGCCTGCACCATAAACTCCATCTGACTGCTGTGTAAGCAGAGTGTACTGCTTTAAAGTGGACCTATCATGCTATATTTGAATAATATAGTGTAGGACCATACCTATATAAGGCATATTTATACTTTTTTTTCTTCAAAATACCAAACAGATCATGCATTTTAGCCATGCCTCATTTTGCTCAATTTGACATTTTTTAGCTCTGTTTTTGCAAGGGCAGATTCTGTGAGAACAGCACCATCTACTGGCCTGGCATATGCACTACAGCGTCTCCAGCGCTTTCGAACGGCAATGGCCGTGGCTGTCTCCTCCTGATTGGTGGAGTTGGCCCAATAGCCGTAGCGCCACCGTCCTGACGTCAGGACAGTGTTCAAATCTGGATCAGTTTTTATCAGATCCGTTGCAGCCCCTTTTTTAGAGATTTGGGTATGGAGGAAAATAGAGAGGGTTGTGTTTTCTGACACTTGGTGAGTTCCCTGGAACACCGGGGACTAGGGATGGGTACCGAGCCCCGGTATTAAACGGGCCCCGGGGCTGAATTATTAAAGACCGTGGTACCGTTAAGCTCCGACGTTATCGGTCTTTTTATCGGTACTGGAGACATCTAAAAAATATGTCATGTGTATTATTGCTACACAAACATTATATTGCAGTTTTAGTGTCGCCAACTCCGTTTCTAATACGCAAAAAGACTGCAAAATGCGTCATTTTTTGTATTTTCGATCTCTCCAATCCAGACGAGAGATCTCTCTCCCCCGTCTGTGTGCAAGGGGGGCGGGGGCAGTTTACACACACCGCAGCTGCTACATGCAGCAACACACACACACGGAGGAGATGGCGGAGAGAACGCGCTCCGAGGTGTGGGTTAAAACTTTACCCGTCTCGCTCGTTGCCTAAAGTGCAATAAGAGTTTAGCATGTCAGGGCGGTAACACGAGCAATTTGTCTAAACATTTAGCAAAAGTGCACCACGTTCAGACGGAGAAATGCACCGGGTTCGACTGTCTCTCTAGTAGCTCTGTAGCCCCATCCACGAGTAACGTTTCCACGTCAGGTATATTATGTATGCTAGCAGCAACACACGGAGCTAACTCAATGATTCAAACATGGGTTAATGATTAGAGGGAACTGAGTTATTTAGTTTGTTAAAGTTTCAGCCATTCTGTTCACAGTTCTGTCATCAGATTATTTAATATGATTTGTTAAAACGTTGTTTCTGTTGATGTGAAATATTATGTATTTCATTTAAATAAAAAGCAATGTTAGTTTTGTTCACAATTTGTTAATTTTCATTTAATTGTTTATTTGAATAGGGACAATGCACATTAATGAACACTTTAGACAAATAATGCTTCAAGTGTAAATATGCCGGATTTTAGCTTTGAGCTAATTTCCATCCGTAGTCCCTGACAAACAACATATAGTTAGTTTACCTCATTTTTCTCTCCAAAAGAACCGATAAGAGTACCGTTAAAAGACCGGACCGATAAGCGGTATCGATAAAAGTAGTAGTACCGTTAAAACCTTAACGATACCCATCCCTACCGGGGACACATATTCATGTATAAAAGACGTACAAAAGTGCATTTTGCATGATAGGTCCCCTTTAAATAAAACACAAACAGCTGCTGGAGAAAAGGCACAGAGTTACTGATCAACTCATATCAGAGGGTTTGGAAAAAGAACCACAATCAATACAAGTCTGAAGGGGAAGAGATATGAGAAAGCAGAACATCTGAAATGTTTTTGATCTGTTACAGACATTGTTTGTGTTTGTCAGTGAAACATACTGCAGTTAAATCAGTGAAATATTCCCATTTACTGCTCTGTGTATTTTTATGTTTCTGTGCAAACGTATTGTATTTTGAGGATTTGTTGACGAGTGAAAATGGTGACTTGTGAGAAGATAAACAGACACAAAAATAACCCCTTTTCAAGTTAAATGAAAAAGACTTCATTGCAGGTTTAATGCTTCAAATTAACACCCATTAGATATACGTTTTACCTATCTACCCTTTCATCGTTCGTTGAAACAAGGAATGGGGTTTTGTTTAGAAACATCAATATGTACTTTTGGTTTCCCTAAATATGCATAATTACACATCTGTAATTATTTGTGTGTGTGTGTGTGTGTGTGTGTGTGTGTGTGTGTGTGTGTGTGTGTGTGTGTGTGTGTGTGTGTGTGTGTGTGTGTGGTCCCTCAGAGAGAGGTGAGGTTCTGGTTCGCTACAGGAGGAGCCGGGTTCTGTCTGAGTCGCAGGCTGGCGGAGAAGATGGCTCCGTGGGCCGGGTAATAACTGAAGCTCCATACAATGTCTTTTATGAAGGACAACATGTCCAGACTAGGCAGTCAGACACTCTATAACAAAGTATTAAAGTACATGCAATCATTTAATACAAAGAGGTTTAATTATGCATTTGGGGTTTTTTTCCCTTCCCTGTAGTGTGTAGGTTGTATGCATGTCAATGGTCTGCAAAGGCTAAAATCCCTGTGTTCCTCCAGAATGAGTTTCCACATCTGTTTACTTCCAGCGCACATCACTAAGTAACACTCGCACTTCTATTGGCTAGCGCTCCAACACATTGTACGTGATAGGCTAAGGGGCGGGACATCTCTAAGCGGTTGACCAATCACAACAGAGCCGGCCAGCTAACCAATCAGATTAGACTGGGCTCTGGTTTCAGACAGACACTACATACTGATATACACCTGAACATCAGCAGGAGAGGACTCTTTAAAGTAGAGACACTACATACTGATATACACCTGAACATCAGCAGGAGAGGACTCTTTAAAGTAGAGACACTACATACTGATATACACCTGAACATCAGCAGGAGAGGACTCTTTAAAGTAGAGACACTACATACTGATATACACCTGAACATCAGCAGGAGAGGACTCTTTAAAGTAGAGACACTACATACTGATATACACCTGAACATCAGCAGGAGAGGACTCTTTAAAGTAGAGACATTACATACTGATATACACCTGAACATCAGCAGGAGAGGACTCTTTAAAGTAGAGACACTACATACTGATATACACCTGAACATCAGCAAGAGAGGACTCTTTAAAGTAGAGACACTACATACTGATATACACCTGAACATCAGCAGGAGAGGACTCTTTAAAGTAGAGACACTACTGATATACACCTGAACATCATCAGGAGAGGACTCTTTAAAGTAGAGACACTACATACTGATATACACCTGAACTTCAGCAGGAGAGGACTCTTTAAAGTAGAGACACTACATACTGATATACACCTGAACATCAGCAGGAGAGGACTCTTTAAAGTAGAGACACTACTGATATACACCTGAACATCATCAGGAGAGGACTCTTTAAAGTAGAGACACTACATACTGATATACACCTGAACATCAGCAGGAGAGGACTCTTTAAAGTAGAGACACTCCATACTGATATACACCTGAACATCAGCAGGAGAGGACTCTTTAAAGTAGAGACACTACATACTGATATACACCTGAACATCAGCAGGAGAGGACTCTTTAAAGTAGAGACACTACTGATATACACCTGAACATCATCAGGAGAGGACTCTTTAAAGTAGAGACACTACATACTGATATACACCTGAACATCAGCAGGAGAGGACTCTTTAAAGTAGAGACACTACTGATATACACCTGAACATCATCAGGAGAGGACTCTTTAAAGTAGAGACACTACATACTGATATACACCTGAACATCAGCAGGAGAGGACTCTTTAAAGTAGAGACACTCCATACTGATATACACCTGAACATCAGCAGGAGAGGACTCTTTAAAGTAGAGACACTACATACTGATATACACCTGAACATCAGCAGGAGAGGACTCTTTAAAGTAGAGACACTACTGATATACACCTGAACATCAGCAGGAGAGGACTCTTTAAAGTAGAGACACTACATACTGATATACACCTGAACATCATCAGGAGAGGACTCTTTAAAGTAGAGACACTACATACTGATATACACCTGAACATCAGCAGGAGAGGACTCTTTAAAGTAGAGACACTACATACTGATATACACCTGAACATCAGCAGGAGAGGACTCTTTAAAGTAGAGACACTACATACTGATATACACCTGAACATCAGCAGGAGAGGACTCTTTAAAGTAGAGACACTACATACTGATATACACCTGAACATTAGCAGGAGAGGACTCTTTAAAGTAGATACACTTAATAATAAATAAAGGTCCAGGCTCCATCATTTCCTTCAAATAAAGTTGATCAGAAATCTCTTTCATTTTCAATGTTTTTGACACTTAGTCCATTAAATGCACAATTAATCAACACAATCTACCTTATTTGTTTTATTTATTTATTTCTGTCCACATGATGTAACAGTCACTCAGTAACAAAACTCATACTCCATCATTTTAGATTTGAGTATCTAGAAAACAAGTGAACATTAATGTCACAATACATAATTTCAAAGGCCTCCTGCAAATGGCTTTACCTTCAAAGTCACAGTGTCCTGCAAACACTTGAATGCACCACCGTTTTCCAGACACTTCCCTTTACGAGCAGCATCACATTGACCAAACAAAAATAAAGCTGACTAAAGTTCACAGTGATGAATCACCGGTCTGAAGGAAGTTTCAGGTCTCTGCACGTCTGTATTTATACTGCTTTAAAATATCGGATAATAATGGCCGCCCAGGGCCAGAAGCAAGAGGAATCAATCTGAGAATTTACAATGTTCTTTGGAAAAGGTCAGCAGCACTAAAGTACATGCAATACATAGTTAATGGGCCACAACATGCAAAATGTGCAACATTATCCTTCTGGGCTGGAAGGCAGTTTTGTTTTGTTTTATATTCTGGAAAACTTCTCCCATCTTCACCAGAACGATCAGAACTTAAAAGCACAGTCAATGCATTTACAAAAGAAACATGTGTGTGTTTATCATCACTACACCATTATTACCATGTTAGCCATGTTTTATATGTATGTACATCAAATCTACAAAAAGCTGTTTCCCGAATATTTCTGATCGGCACATAAATATTTTTTGTTTTACATTACTGTTATAGAAATCTGCCATATCCATTATAATTATTCACAAGTTAGTATTCAAAATATATTTGGATGTTGTTACGATACAAAATGCTGACTCTGCATTTACAAACTGCTCTTCGTGTGTTTTTGGAGACTCCCTCGACGTCGGCATATTCACAAATGCATTTTTTTCAACAAGGAATTATCTGCAGCCAATCAGATGTCTCCTTTATGTTCAACCAATCACGTGAGAGCGTCTCCACGAGTTCTAAAGATAGCATTACCTCTATCATTCTGCAATCAATTTCAACATGTCATACCAGATCTGATATAACCACTAACATGACCACATGAAACTGTAGAAATGTCATATTTCCATCCAGTTTTCCAAAAATAAATAATAAATTGAAACGTTTTTCCAATTGGAGACCTGGAGCCACCTACTCTAGTATCCTAATAATTGCACAGCAGCATGGCAGTAAGCACTCATTTGCATTATTTTGTCTAATTTCCCCGACATTTCCCCGTGTGTGTTTTAGCGGCTCGCGGTTCGAGCAGACATCGGCGAGGATCCGTCTCCCTGACGACTGCACGGTGGGCTTCATCGTGGAGGAGATACTCGGCGTCTCCATGGTCCACTGTCCGCTGTTCCACTCTCACCTAGAGAACCTGCTGCTCATCAGCCACAGGAGCATACAGCACCAGGTACACACACACACACACACACACACACACACACACACACACACACACACACACACACACACACACACACACACACACACACACACACACACACACACACACACACACTCACTCACTCACTCACTCACTCACTCACTCACTCACTCACTCACTCACTCACTCACTCACTCACTCACTCACTCACTCACTCACTCACTCACTCACTCACAGGTCGATGAACATTCACAATATACAGAACTGTATAATTTTATAAAAATGTAAATGACTAGAAAACAGCAACCTTTGGTCATGTGCAAATACTCTTTGAATACAATTTGTATCGGTCATTGGATAAATATGAAAGGTAATCCAGTCCGGCATTATTCAAACACATCAGAGACATACTCCAATGAGTAGGGGTCTAGAGCCTTCAGCCGCTCTGCACCCCGCCTCTGGAACTCTCTCCCACCTGACATCCGCAACACTGACTCTCTCCCCATTTTCAAATCACGTCTCTTCACACTCGCATATCCTCCCTGATCATTATCCATCACACATCCTCTGTTTTTATTTATTTGATTGATTTATATACTGCATTGTCTTGTTTATGTCTCTTATGCTGGTGTTATGTATTGTGTATCTTGTTTTTTGTGTGTTTGTCCGGCGACCTTGACAGCCTTGAAAGGCGCCTATATAAAATAAATGAATTATTATTATTAGTAGCTAGCTGCAGCAATACACGTTTAAATCAGCTACAGAGATTACATTTGGCGAGTTTGTTTTACCTAACATATAAGGTAATGCACAGAAGATTATTTTATTAAACACAAAAACATTTCAAGACTTTCCAAACACATTTAAAGGATTTTACTTATTCCTTGACTTACCCAGGCCTAGCAAATAAGAATCTTACCGTGTGTGTGTGTGTGTGTGTATGTGTGTGTGTATGTGTGTATGTATGTGTGTGTGTATATGTGTGTGTATATGTGTGTGTGTGTGTGTGTATATGTATGTGTGTGTGTATGTATGTGTGTGTATATGTGTGTGTATATGTGTGTATGTGTGTGTGTGTATATGTGTGTGTATGTGTGTGTGTATGTATGTGTGTGTGTATATGTGTGTGTATATGTGTGTGTGTGTATATGTGTGTGTGTATGTGTGTGTATGTATGTGTGTGTGTATGTGTATGTGTGTGTGTGTGTGTGTGTGTGTGTGTGTGTGTGTGTGTGTGTGTGTGTGTGTGTGTGTGTGTGTGTGTGTGTGTGTGTGTGTGTGTGTGTGTGTGTGTGTGTGTGTGTGTGTGTGTGTGTGTGTTCCTCCACAGGTGACACTGAGCTATGGGATGTTTGAGAACAAGATGATCAGCATCGAGGTGAAAGGAAGTTTCTCTAAAGAGGAAGACCCCTCCAGGTTCGTCTGACACTCCATGAACTTATCGTTTCATTTAAAAATGGGATGATCATTTACTAAATCAACATCATGCTGTATCGAAGAAGTCTTACAAATAGAGATTGACACTATCAACTCATTAGGGACTACTACTTACTGAACTAATAAGCTAAGTGAGAAGTAAGTCTCATTTTCTCATAGACTTCAATACAATCTACCAGGAGTCATATTTCCATTTCCCCTCACTGTCTCTATCTCTATTCTTTATATATGAGTTTGGAAACCGTTGAGAACAGTTTCTTCTCTCCTCAGTTCCTAAAATATCATGCAAACACACACTTTTAAAGCGCTATCAAAGAAACAAGTGGTGATATAACGCCACACACCGAAACAAAGGTGCACAGTCGCCTACAAACACAGTTGGTTTCTTCTTGACATCTCATCCTCTGTTACCCCGGGTATATCTATTGACATTCATTTAGATCTTTCCAGACATCAGTGCAAGAATGTTACAGAATATAAACTATGATTTGCAAATAGCATTACTAAACTCATTCAGATAAGAATATTGTAAGAGTGGGAGGCGTGTGGCGCAGTGGGCTAGTGCGTTGGTGTTGGGATCAGGGGAACACAGGTTCAAACCCCACTGCAGTCAGCATGTCGTTGTGTCCCTGAGACACTTCACCCCAAATTGCTCCTGTGGGAATTGTCCACAGTATTGAGTATGTAAGTCGCTTTGGATAAAAGCATCTAACAAGTAACAAGTAACATGTAAGAAAATAAGAAAATGCTATCAATATTAAATAATAAGAAAATCTAAAAACTAAGTTGTGTTGACAGTCTGATTGTCTGTCACTGTTGAGGAGGGTAAAATAATTGATAACAAAAAATATTACATAGGGATACACAAAGATGGCAAGTATTTCAGATGTTCCCCGTTCAATATGAAATATAGAATAATATCAGAAAAGTGTATATCTCCAAATGTTAAGAAATCATTTAAAACCAAAGCAGAACTGGGCTGAAACAATTTCCTTAACTAAGTAATGATAATAAAAGCAGATGTAAAAGACTAGGTCAGAAATGCAGAATATATTCTAGTCTTTAAAGGTCCCATGTCATGCTTTTCCGGTTATTACCCGTCCCCTTGTGTGTTATGTAGCTTTTTATGCATGTAAACTGCTAGTGGAGCCTCGCAGATGGGGGTGCTGCAGCCCCCTCAGCACCCCCCCCTTCCCGCGTCCATTCGCGATGTCTCGCTGTCTCGCTGTCTCGCTGTCTCGCAGACCCCAGGCAGCAACCAGGAAATGACACCAGTAACCCAGCTCACACTGTCCGCTCCTCGAGCCTCAAAGGGCGGAGCAGCGAGCCCCGCAACGTCCCGCCAACACGGCACCCAGACCCCACGCAGCATTCTCATCTGTTTGTCATTACTGGTGTCATTTCCTGGTTGCTAACAAACGCCATTGTAACACATAATCACTGATGTTCCGCTGTAACGGTGATGGACTCATCAGAACAGAGTGGACGAGCTGACCAATCAGAGCACACTGGGCTCACAGGGAGGGGGGGGGGGGGGGCAGGAGCTCCAACAAGGCGTGTAGGACAGAGAGTGAATACACAGACTATACAGAGATGCTGTATGAGAAACCAATGTGAGTTTGGAACATTGCACAATATAAATCTATTCTAGTAGACCTCAACAATGGAATTATGATCAGTAGAAATGGCCATGACATGGGACCTTTAAAATGTTCCAGGATCCAAACAACAAGCTAATCATTTATTCTTCCACCACAACGTACTCTCCACCAATTCTTATTAAAAAACTTTTATCAAGTTTTTTAAGATTTTAGAGAAACTAATAACAGAACAATGGTCTCCTTGCCGGGGGTAAGAAGCCTAAATATTCCAGTGTGATGATATTACTGTCTGACATATTCATTAGACGCTCTGCCGGGCTATTTTTAGCTGCTTGAGCTTTCTCTCCTTTGGTGGATCATCTGTATCACCGGCTGCTGAGAGGACGACACAAAGTCACAGTAACTTATTGTCCCCAGATCCCACACTGTGGATAATACATTATATCTGGATTGGGAATTAACTACAGAGCTATTTCCTATAACGTTAAAAAAGGCTCTATTAAGCCTAAAATCCCTGTGTTCGCCTCCATTGGACTCCTCTGTTTACTTCAGGATTATAGTGCCATCACTATGTAACACTCGCACTTCTATTGGCTAGAGTTCCAAGACATTGTATGTGATAGGCTAAGGGGCAGGACATTTCTAAGCGGTTGACCAATCACAACAGAGCCTGCCAGTTAACGAATCAGAGCAGACTGGGCTCTGGTTTCAGACAGAGGGTGAAAAGAGGTGCTGCAGCACAGGCAGAGGGTGTTTCTCAATGTCGAGTATGCTTGCTTGGTAACACATGTCTTCCGAGTCACTTGCTTCAGAAGCGAGGCAAGAATCCTTCCTGGCATTCGGAAAACGAAGAGTGGAACAGGCGAGCAAGTGTGCAGGTGTGCGTCATATGAGAGGCCCCGCCTTATATTACGAAATTGCTCCGTGCGCAAAGCATTGTGGGGGATTTTAAGACCGCGGAGTCTACACATGTGCAGCCTCGAAATTTCTCGCTACGAAGTACGCCGGGCTCGGTAGAATTCCAAGTATGCTGGACATGGGAACAGTCCTTCGGCGGCACTCGATGACGTAGTATGCTTGAAATAGTGGCTCTGAAGCAGCTTTACTCGACATTGAGAAACACCCAGTATGTGAAAAATAAAGAGCTTTTTGAACATTAAAGCATGGAGACATGTCAGAGTAGAGACACTACATACTGATATACACCTGAACATCAGCAGGAGAGGACTCTTTAAAGTAGAGATACTACATACTGATATACACCTGAACATCAGCAGGAGAGGACTCTTTAAAGTAGAGACACTACATACTGATATACACCTGAACATCAGCAGGAGAGGACTCTTTAAAGTAGAGATACTACATACTGATATACACCTGAACATCAGCAGGAGAGGACTCTTTAAAGTAGAGACACTACATACTGATATACACCTGAACATCAGCAGGAGAGGACTCTTTAAAGTAGAGACACTACATACTGATATACACCTGAACATCAGCAGGAGAGGACTCTTTAAAGTAGAGACACTACATACTGATATACACCTGAACATCAGCAGGAGAGGACTCTTTAAAGTAGAGATACTACATACTGATATACACCTGAACATCAGCAGGAGAGGACTCTTTAAAGTAGAGACACTACATACTGATATACACCTGAACATCAGCAGGAGAGGACTCTTTAAAGTAGAGACACTACATACTGATATACACCTGAACATCAGCAGGAGAGGACTCTTTAAAGTAGAGACACTACATACTGATATACACCTGAACATCAGCAGGAGAGGACTCTTTAAAGTAGAGACACTACATACTGATATACACCTGAACATCAGCAGGAGAGGACTCTTTAAAGTAGAGACACTACATACTGATATACACCTGAACATCAGCAGGAGAGGACTCTTTAAAGTAGAGACACTACATACTGATATACACCTGAACATCAGCAGGAGAGGACTCTTTAAAGTAGAGACACTACATACTGATATACACCTGAACATCAGCAGGAGAGGACTCTTTAAAGTAGAGACACTACATACTGATATACACCTGAACATCAGCAGGAGAGGACTCTTTAATTTATTGAGCCCTCTTCTTTAGGAACAAGCATTTATTCGCTTTTTCTTTGTTCAATTTTCTCCAAAACTTGTTCTACATTGGAACGGAAAAGCACCTTTTTAGGGTCAATGCAGACTCTGACTTAAAAAAGCTGCTCCTGTTTAAAATAAAGTTATACTGGCGGTCGTGTTCCAGTCCCCTGACTAATGTCAAAGTGTCCTTGGCAAAATACTAAACCCCAAATTGCTCCCGATGGCATTTCACAACGGTGCGTGAATGTGTGTGAATGTGTGTGAATGTCTCACCTGAGACTAAATGGCACCTTGAATGTACGGCAGCCTCTGAATGAATGTGTGTATATGTAAAAGTGCTTTGAGGAGTCACAAAGATAAGATGAAATAAATCTTTATTGATACCCGTAAGGAAATGCAGGCGTTTAAGCAGAAACAGGAATACGATTGAAACACAGGATCGCACAGCCAAGAGTTCATGCAATAACATATCAACAATAGTTTACATAAATGAGTAATTTTAGATATGAAAATATACATAAATGTCTGTGTGCAAGTGCAAGTCCAAAGTAGGTACATATGGTACAAATCATATGTGCAAAGACATGGAAAGCACTGTATACATATATCCATTTAACACATACTGTTATGTACAAAAAGAATACTTACTACTTAAAAAACATAAACACAATTTCATTGATTCAAGACTGATCAGGTTCGTTTCTCTTCCCCTACCAAAGAAAGAATTAGAAACCCCTCAAAAACCTTTCTCAAACGGTTTTCTCTTTCTGTTTTGGACAGTTCAATGACTATTGCACAAATGACTTTTATATTCTTCTAACCAACCAGCCGTTTAAAAAAAAAATGGACATGTCAGTAATATTTAAAGAAATATATTAACATACAGGGCATAAGACAGGACCCGACCAACGCTCACTAGCAGAAAGCTTTTAAAGATCCCTCTCACCTCTGAGTTATTTGTAATCCCTTCTGTCCTCTGCAGGTTTAAGACCGTCCACTGCAAGCTGTATCCTTTCACCAGCTGGTGTCCTTGAGAGAACTCCAACTTCCCAACACACAGGGGAAACCATCGCTAATCCAGCTGAGTGAAGCACTTTAACTGGGATTGGTCTGAAGGATTTTATTTGATGGAACAATTTGAGATGCAGACACCAGAATTGAAGACTCTGAAACTAGAGATGAGCTTCGGACGGAAAATCTGGTTTCTCTTGACATGCTTAAAAAAGATCAGATGGACACTTGTGGACTTGCAAGAAAGGATCTTGATAATGAACGGGTCAACTGTGAGTTACAAACACACAGGTTTATGGCGATTATTTGTGTCCTTACTATGTTTTGTTTTTCTGGAACATTTTATCTGTGATTAAGAGAAGCACTTAAGACAAAGCAGCACTTCAGATTTTTACTGGAACTCCATCCCGTATTGTTTACAAAAACAAAAATGAACTTGTACATATTTTTTAAAATGTACTCACATTTCTATTATTAAAACTAGATTTCTATATTTGGTTTCACATTTTACATTTTCTGATGGTTTAAACTACACGGACTGAAGCTCTCCTGAAGTGCCGTCAGGTTTTAGAGGTAGATTTGCTGAATCTATTTGAGTTTTTATTGACTTTGTTCTTGGCCTTGTCTTTTCTGTGGTCTGATAAACAGTAAATGTATTAAATTCAGTGCAATTTCCTAAGCTACTAGTCATAGGCATTTTCTATCAGGACAAACCTTAATTACAAGAGATGTGACATAGCCCAGGTGTGTGTGTGTGTGTGTGTGTGTGTGTGTGTGTGTGTGTGTGTGTGTGTGTGTGTGTGTGTGTGTGTGTGTGTGTGTGTGTGTGTGTGTGTGTGTGTGTGTGTGTGTGTGTGTGTGTGTGTGTGTGTGTGTGTGTTTCTTCCACCCCTCCATCTGTCTCTCTGTTTACTCAGTCATGTCCCTTTTGGCTGTGCTGTCTCCTTCAAGGCCTCTGCTGAAAGTAAAATGAACTTCCACTCATTTTTAACCTCGATTATAAACAACAACAAACTACTGAAAGCACAAAGAAGATCACAACTGACTCCATTAAAACCTGATCCCCACTATGCCAACAAGGACAACATTATCAGATGATGTCAAATAGATCCATAAAAAGAGAAGTCAAAATAATAAAACATGTTATTTGGAGGCGCTGTTTTCCGGACAAAAAGTCAGAATTCTCCGATTTTCCGAAAAAGCCATTATGATGTGAAATGGACCCATAGTTGTTCATATGTAAAATAATAATGGACTGCAAGGTCTAAACTGAAATATGAATTCATAAGACCAAAAATAAATGAAGGTCAGTTAAGACCAAACTCAAATGAATGGTTCGAACATATCACAAACGATTGTATTTCTAATGACAAACAGAAATGACGGGTTTGACCACCTGACTGAAATAAAACAGGGAAAAGGAAGCTGAAGGGAAGACTAAACGTGTGTTATGATGATAATCAAACCGGACTGATCTTGCTCTTTGATTACTACCTGAATATAACATGAGAGTAAACTGAGGAGATAGACATAACAAACAAGGAGAACAGTTTAAAAGTCTGACGGCAGCACGATCGGTGATTGGCTGTCGAAGATGTAGTACAGTAACCTAAATAGCCACACCCACAATCTGCTTTTTAAATGCAGCTTGAGAAATGCAGAAATGAGAGAGACAATTAATAACGTAGGTAGGTCTTGACTTGCACTGAGTTTCATAAGAACATGAACAAGCGAACAGAGTAAGAACGATTGAAGTACAAACAGGTACATTCAAAACCACGACACACACACATCTGCAGGCAGAGCCTCATGCAGGTTAGACAGATCAGGTCCAGGGCAGGAATACAAATATCACAATGACATGCTCACACACTGAATGTGAGTGTGGGAATCCACCGAGGAGAGATGACACTCCTCCAGACCCCCCCCCCCCCGGGTTTAGCTTGTTTGCTGTGAATTGAGATGTGATGAATACAAATACGCTGCTGCAGGCGACCTTGTGTGAAGTGGATGGAGAGTGTTTGAGAGTGTGAAGGAATGACTGTGTGGCCCTGGCACATCTCTCCATCTCCACCAGAATACTGAGCCCCACATTCGGAGTAAATAACACAAGGGCTGAATGCGAGGCGACAGCTTGCTGCAGATGTAAAATCAATTTCCCTGCAGTGGCTACAGAGTAAAACTTTTTTATATTCATACTTTTCAAAGGGGAGAGGAAGGTGATGAACAGTGTTTAAAAGGTGTGTGACCATTGAACATGTGTTACACTAGTGTTGGACATGCTGTACGGAACATTTAGAGGATGTTTTACACAACCATTGATAGACTGAATGTCTGTAATATTGCGCCAACAACAACAATCACTTACAGGTAGACAGCTGGCCGTTCATTTGATGTCGCAGATATGGGAACTTGGCAAACATCTTTGTTTATCTTGTCATTTTTAGCCATAGCTGTACAATTAAAAAATACATAATTAGAAAAGGTATAAACGGTTTGGTTGTATCTTACTCCTTTTGATAAACCCATTACAAACAGCAGCGGTTAGACTTTTCATTTTCTTTAGTTTGTGGCCCAACAGGTATTTTGAGTCTTCAACCTAACATAAAAGTGTTGTTATAAAAGCATCAAATGTGAATTTAGAAAAACCAAAGCCAGTTACTGTGGTACTTTAAGCCTAAATCTGGAACTGAAGATCATTGCTATCATCTCAACATTTTAATTCATTATTTTCTGACTGCTAAGATCTATGTTATCCCTGCTTACACATCTGGCAGACATGATGTTACGTCTTCTGATTCTGTCGAAGTAAGTTCATAATACTTCTCTTTTAGCTTTGTTTTGGTCTCCACCAGCTCCTGAGATAAATATCTCGGCCAAATATTGCACTTTCATGTTGCTATATTTCTTCTAGTTGCTGTTTGCTAATGGGCAGTTATAGCGTCAGAGCATTTCTGACTGAAACCATATCACAGCCTCCAGGTTTACTGACCCACAATATGCAACTCATATAATGTGTGAAACATTTCATTACATTTCATTTCATTTAGCTGACGCTTTTATCCAAAGCGACTTACAATTACAGGGACATTCTCCCTGGAGTAACTGAAGGCGCCTTACTCAAGGGCACACTAGTGGTGGTGTTCCTGGCGGGATTTGAACTCACAACCTTCCGATCTTCAACCCACCTCACTATCCATTAGACCAGTGGCGTCGCCTGGCCTGGGCATCCGGGGCTTTAGCCCCGAATGTTTTTTCTGTAGCCCCGGACAATTCTCCCTCAATAATATAATACATTAACCGTGCTTTACGTGAACCTCATCATGACACAAGAGAGGACGGCAGCACTGTAATTTCCTGGGGGGAGCATCCCCCCAGACCCCCCTCGAGGAGGTGAGCCCCCCACTCATAAAAAATACCACTTTACCCCTGCCTATATGCCGTGAGCTGATTATCGAGCCTTCATTGTAACAGTCGCGGGTGTACTGTGTGTGTGCGTGTGGGGAGTGTTGCAGTGAAAAATGCTACTGTAGTGCCGCCGCCACTGTGGGCTAAGCCCCGAATGTTTTCAGGTCCAGGCAACGCCCCTGCATTAGACCATCACTATCCACTACTATATGTGAAACTGTACAAACATGTATTGTTGATGGGGTTTTATACCCATTTAAAATTGTTTTTATGTGATGTTTCTTGTGCACAATGCAACTTTTTATGAGGTCCTGTTTTTAAATTTAGCCGATTACAATCACTTTAGTTGATTCAGTTAAATGGCAATTACATTTGTTTGAATTTGAATAGCTGAGTCTTAATTCAATTACAACTCCCAGCAATGATCAGGGTCCAGATTTAATACACTCTCACTAAACTGTGGGTGTTTCTCAATGTCGAGGAAGGCTGCTCCAGAGCCACTATTTCAAGGATGCTACGTCATCGAGTGCCGCCGAAGGACTGTTCCAATGTCCAGCATACTTGGAATTCTACCGAGGCCGGCGTACTTCGTAGCGGGAAATTTAGAGTCTGCACATGTGTAGACTCCGCGGTCTTAAAATCCCCCACAATGCTTTGCACACGGACCAATTTCCAAATCTTTGGCGGAAATCGCGCTCCATTTAAGGCGGGGCCTCGCATATGACGCACCCCTGCACACCTGTTCCACCATTCTTCGTTTTCCGAGGCTAGGAAGGATTCTTGCCTCGCTTCTGAAGCAAGTGACTCGGAAGACATGTGCTACCAAGCAAGCGTCCTCGACATTGAGAAACACCCACTGTCTCTCTGCTTTGACTTGTGTGCTTCAGGTTGCAAACAAATGGCAGATGATAGGTAGGTAAAAACACAATGAAAAAAGATGGTTATATTAAAAAGGCAACAAATGAAACCTGACACGATTTCCAATGGAGCCGTTTACCAAGTATTTGTCTTACATCCAACAGCATTTTACAGCTACGTTTTATTAATAAAGTTTCAAAAGTCTGATTTAAAGTATGTGGCTCTGAAACAACAAACCCATTTCTTGTGATCATAATCATGGAAAATGTCTCGAGATAACACATTGCTTTATTTGTTTGTGATTTCATGTGCCAAATTAATATTTTTGGTGCTCATGAAATCTGTAGAAAGAGCGGTGGAAAATCTGTTCAGGCATCTTGAACCGATTTTTGGCTGCTATCGCCTCTTTTTATTTGATTGTTTGTCTGCTTGTACACAGGATATCAGTGGAAATGGATGCCTTCTCCATCGTTAAAACCTTCATCCTGCAGATTCTCTTGGAGGATGAAAGTGTTCTTAGCAATGCTCTTATCTATCAACGTTGACATCATATAATGAACCTGGCCATAATGTAAATATTCATCTTGCAAATGTGCACTTTTCCTCACTGTATCTTCATTGGCTTGGAGAACCTTTAGTATACACTGTGTATGTACATCTCTCATATTCATTTGCACAGACATGGAGCTCATCCAAGTGTGAGAAAATGATATTTCCTGCATCCCCCTCCCCTGTGTTTGTCTGTTCCCTGGTGCAGCAGATTTATGAGCTCAGCTGTATATAAAGCAGCTAACTGTGGCTGCAGAGGACCAGGTCAATTGGAGGCAGAGTGTTACGGCTGTCAGAGGAACGATCTCTCCGTCTCCGCTGTCCATCATATTAAATCGACCTGGCCTTGTAAAGGATAGCCGGGCAGAGAGATAAATGGATGGTGGAGGCTGCGATGAGAGGAAGAACGATTGAGAGGCGTCTGGTGTCAGGCCAAGATAGAGAGGGAAATGTATGGAATACAGAAACCTCACTTTGAATTAAGGTTGAGATCGACTACTTTTAGTAAAAGGTAGTCGATCTCAACCAACCTACCGCATCTTTACCCACACCCCTTCAACCCCTCATTCCCTTCAATATATTTGATCCTTCCCTCCTGTAGTGTTGTCCTTTTGTATGTGTATCTTGCTTTATTATAGACAACTCAGGAGACAGTGAGTATCGTTTGTTCTGATTGAA